GGATACTTTTGAGATAGAAAATTTGAAGAGAAAATTAGTGCCTAACTGGGGTGGTGATTCCACTACTTCAGGGAGTAGAGGTAGGACGAGTATCTTCAAAGAAAATCGATATTCTTAGTAAATGTGAGTTAAGGGAAGAGGTAAACGAGATAAGAAGAAGTAAAACATGAGTATAAAAGAAAGAGCAAGGATGGAAAGGATAAAAGGAAGGGAAGAAGGACAAGGGATCGATGGAAAATTGTGAAATTGTGATGATAAACGATTCACATTTTCATTAGGATCGAATCATCTGATAATGAACCTTTATTGGGATATGATATTTTAAAGAAAATATGTTCGACAACAAGGATTAATTGTTAACAATACAAATAAAAATAGAAAATCAATGAAATCTTGACACAACCCTGACGCAACCTTGAATGAAATGATCGAAATAATGGTCTTACTGCAATGTAGCATCAAAGAAATGAATTAAAAAAAGGAAAAAATGCTTGCATTATGAACTAAAATCGGAAGTTATGAATGAATCGAGGTCGGTGATCAGTGACGACCGTTGTCGTCATAGTCGTCATCTTCAACTAACTAGGATTTGCTGAGTGAAATTTTCTATAACGGAACGAGCTTTCAATCGTATTCGGGCCAAGAACTCACCGCAGGCCACGGACGAATATTGTGATAGCTTTTTCCTTTCGAACTTCATCCCCTCAAAACACCAACCCCCTTTTTCATCTATCTATTTTTTACTCTGAACTATAATCCCCTACCTTCCCACCCCTACCTTGAATTTCGAGATTTTCTTAATACTAAATAAAAAAATAAAAAAAATCAGTCACAATAAGAAACTGTATGAGCGTCCTTAGTGCATTTCTTTAGTTTTGTTCTTTTTTTTTTTTTTTTTTCTTTTCTTTTTCTGTATACTTTCAGATTATTATTTTTTTTTTTTTTTTCAGTATTTTAGAAAATATAGAAACACAACAGATTTCTTCTTTCTTTCTTTCTTTCTTTCTACTTTGAAATCTTTTTGGAGGTTATGTTAGAATCGGAAAAAAATATTTGAAATGAGAATGTTGCGTTTTTAGAGATTAAAAATAGGAAACGGATAAAGAAAAGAGACAAAATATAAAGAAAAATATTTTTTTTTTTTTTTTTTTTTTTTTTTAAGAAATAAGATGTCAAGAGATTAGAATGAGTATTATTGATCCCCCACACCCCCGTACCACACCCCCGAAGAACCCTACATCTTTCCTTTTTGAGAATTAATTGTTAATTGGATTTTTCTATGAGATTTGAATTGGTGGTACGTGTTATTTAAATACTAGTATTTTATTTATAATAATATTAAATTATATAATTTAAAATAATTATATAGTATTATAAATATTTAAAAAAAATTATTGTATAATATTTTTATTGACAAGAAAATTCTCCATTTGTTAAAAGACACACACACACACACACAATGAATTTTTATGAAATTTAATTGGTGCTTGTTAAAGTACTATTATTTAAATAATTATAATACAAAATCCTGCGTTGCAATGAGATCAACATTTTATAAAAATTAATATTTAAATTGTTGAAACTTTTGATTTTTTGTATCTACGTTTTATATATTTTATCACTTTATTTAACAACATTTTAAAACAGATGAGAGTATTAGGCAAAAATGTTTAAAAATATTTGCTTTTATTCAAATTGTGTGACAGTTATTTTGATTATCCGAAGATTAGTAGGAAATTTTATAAAAATAATCTGAGGTTCTACCAATAGAGGGTAAATCTTTCATTAAAAAATATATATTTTCATCTAAGCAACCCTTATCTTTCAAGCTTGATAGTATAAATGTTCAATCGATGATATCGCAACGTAGAGAGAATGTTGCCATCTGTCGACATATTCTACGAACTAAAAGGGGTGTGCAGAACCGTACCAGTAGTAACCCGTGGAAAACCATTTGGCAAAGGTCGATACAAACGGTATTGACTTTGTCAGATTTCTTACTTATCATCTAACCTCGCCATTTTGTTTTTTTTTTTCTCTTTTTTTTTTTTTTTACATTTTCTCAATCAGAGGTAAATTTTTCTCCTACGATACAAAAATCACTGTCAACTATATTCATTTGTAGTTTCCTTTAAATCAATTGCATACAAAAATGTGTAAACCTTTTTTTTATCGTCACAAATACATCCTTTAAAATACGTAAAAATAACCCAGCCTGTATATGTAACTGTTTAAAATCAGTCGCCATTTTGTAAGAATTGCTAGTTTTGTTGTTTTGTCTTGTTTTTTTTTGAGATATTAAGAAGAATAAAGAATAAAATAGTGAGAATGATGAAAAATAATGTGCTTTTTCTTACTAAGTTAAAGAAAAAAATAAATTAAAAAGGACGAAGTTGAAGAAAATACCGACACCACTTGACCAGAATAAACGAAGGTTAAACAACGTACAATTGAGAACATAAACTCGACTAACTCTAAAACGCAGTCAGCATTTATGAAACGACTTGTTTTTTTCTTTTCTTTTTCAATTGACCAAGTGAACAAAACCATTCATCATAGTCAAAAAAAAAAAAAAAAAAAAAAAATAAAAAAAATATGTAAAAGTAATTTAAGTTCCTAAAAATAACATGGATAGAACCATCATAACACACGCATTCGTGTGACACAAAACCTTCTTTTCTGTTCAAATTAATATTGGATAGTTTAAAGTTTCGAAAGAAAAAAAATATTGTTGAAAATTGAAAGATTTGATTGTTGTTGTTGTTTTTGTTAAATTCTCACTTACGCTTTTAAGAAAACAAAATGGATGCCATGCGATTATTCCAAGAGACTCGTATGACACACACGTACCTGAAACACAAAAGAGATCAATAATTCATTAATAATTTTCAACAATATTGAAACTTATATATTAAAAAGAGAATATACAATTTGTTCATTAAATAAATCATAATATTAATAATTTATTTATATTATTATTATTTTTTTTAATAATTTTTCTAATAGAATTTACAATGATTTTAGGATTTAACCTCGATAAATTCAAAAACAGGTATTTATATCCTTTTTAAATCACCAGCCTGTATTTTTTTGCATGTGTATTTTTAAATTGTTTATAATTTGAAGATTGAAAAACTTCAAATCCTTAAAGTCCTAGATCCTGGCCACGTTTTATCCTAGCACGTGGTTTTTCTAATATGCAAAGTACCTCAAATCGATTATTTCTATAGTCCTCGACATCTATGCAATAGTATATATGTATATACATGCAGTAAATAACCATTATACATGTATATAGATGCATTTATACAAGAAAGAGTCCCGATTTTATCGAATTAAAGTTTACGAGCCAACTTAACGTGAGTAAAAACACATACACGTACACAATAACGCGTTGTTGGCTCGTGTCCAAACCACCCAAATGCTAAACTCTAAAGTTACGATATAATATCCATTGGTATTTGGTCATATTAACCCCATAAGGTATTTCATTTTAAATCACGAAAGAAAATTGATAATTACGTGTCACGTTGTTTGTACGCAATGGATTCCTAAACTACTGAACCGATTTTAATCAAATTTAGCACACTGTGTGTAGTTTCATCCAACTTGAAAGATAGGATAGTTTATATCTCAATTTATAATCAAATTATTTGTTTATTAACAAAGAGTCATGATTATCTCTGTTAGTTCGATAAGATTCTGACAGATGACGGTATAAGGTAATTCGTTGACTGGATTGAGTAAGTATCCAATATTATGTATATATTAGGTTTATTGGAAAGTTCTGCCTGTTTTTAGAATAATATAATTATCATTAATTATTTCTAACTTTTTACTCGTAGCGTGATGATAATTTGTAATTTTAAAAGAATTATTTGTATTTTTAAAAAATATCTTTTACCCCTAGTGACGAAAAATTGAACTAATGTTTAATCAAACAGATAGAACTTTCCAGTAAACCTAATAATAAATTAATTAATTAATATATATATTTAATATAATTTATATACTAAATATTTTTAATATATATACAATATGAGATAAAAATTGGAAGTATTAACAAAATATTTTAATAATAGAATTTGAAATAAAACAAATTCAAGAAATGGATGTTCGACTAATTTAACAACTCACATATATGTACACATATATGTATATGCTATTTAGATGTAGGTCTTCGATTAGACTTTTATGGAATAACACCACTGAAGGTTTAAAAAGTCAATATAATAAAAAAGAGAAAGAGAAAGAAAAAAAACAGGTCAATTTTGTTATACGACACGTGTCCAATTTACGTTCAACTCGATGGTTTGTTTTCTTACATCCCTTTTTTTTTATGTATGTGTGTGATTTAAATCAAATCATAAAATTTGTAACATTTGTGAATCTTCTTCTTTTCTACATTCACATAATATGTATTATATTTATATAACACATCACACAACATTATAATAATTAATATTATTGTGAGAAATGAAGGAAGTTTGATCGGTTTGTACAAACCTTGAAAAAATGGCAATAGGTTGTTGATACCTTTGAAACACGTGCAACCCATAATATATCCCATCATCGGTAAGTTCTCTTTCACTTTGATTTCTCTAACACTTCTTTCAAATATTATTGACTTTTAATTTGTTTTTTTATTTTAACCTCAATTAAACTTCACTTGTACAAGAAAAACAAAATAATAAAACAACACCACCATTACCACCACCACCACGTTCTCGTTCAAATAAAATCAAATGAAAATTGATTTGCAATGAAGAGAAATTAACAACAACAACAACACGCGAACTAAATCGAATCTGTGTCTGTGTCGAATGTGTCTCATCGAATTATGTGGCAACACATACCTCATTGATACTTTTCTGTCACCGTTTATTTTCTCTTTCTCTCTCTCTCTCTTTTTTCTTCTTCCTTTTTGGTAGAACAGTGACGTTAAAAATTTCTTTCTTTCCTTTCTTTTCCTTTCCTTTCCTTTTACGTTTCTTGATTATAACGGTACGTGAGTTCTCGTTACGAATTTAAAGATACGATACCTGAATATGATCTCAACTAATAATATAAATGAGAGTCAAAGTTCCACCATCATCACCTTCCTTTCTCTCTTTCTCTCCATAAATGTCAACGGAAATTCATCGCATTGTTAGTCTATCAAAAAATTTATTAACCGTTCGAATTAACCGGTTAAACTGTGATTAATAAGTACACTCGTTATGTAGAAGTGGTAGTACGATTTTTCTATAGACGAGTATACTCGTCGTACCGTATAAAGTAGCAACCATTGACCAATTTAAATTGTAATATTACTTTTGAGAAAAACAAAAACGTATTCTCAAATTTCAAGATGTTTCGAATATTTTAAGCCCATGCTGGAATAAAACTGACAAATAAAAAAATATAAATAATTTGAGACGAACTTATGCGCGCCGTCCCACGTATGCACCGGGTTGAAACAGCTTAACCCAGAAAGCTTAAACGAATTTATTTATGTGCGATGATAACGTTTTTTTTTTTTTTTTAGATGTTAGCCTAAAAAGGGGCAAAGGCTAAAGTCAGAATGTTGATTTATAATGGGGTCTCTTCAGGTATGGTCAGTCACGGGAGAAATGGGTGACGGTGTTAAATATTTAATGTATAACAATCTGTCCGATAGACACGTCTCTTTAAGTCAACGAATTACCTTATACCGCCATCTGTTAGAATCTTATCGAACTAACAGAGATAATCATGACTCTTTCTTAATAAACAAATAATTCGATTATAAATTAAGATATAAACTATCCTATCTTTCAAGTTGGATAAAACTACACACAGTGTGCAAAATTTGATTAAAATTGGTTCAGTAGTTTAGGAGTCCATTGTGAATAAACAACGTGACACGTAATTTATATATATTAAGATATTCTATCTTTTAAGATGGATGAAACTGCACACAATGTGGAAAATTTGATTAAAATCGGCTCAGTAGTTTAGAAGTCCATTGCGAATAAACAACGTGACACGTAATTTATATATATTAAAAAGATATTTCATTTTGATTACGCGTTTTTAATTAAATATATATGTAATATATGTTTATGTTAACCATTAGTAATCAAATTATCAATTTTATAATAATAAACCCCATCTATGATAAGAGGATTTAATTTTTTATTTAGTTGGTAATTGTATTGTGAGGTGTCTTAAAAGCATGCTGTTGTATTAGATTTAAAAGTTATTATTATTCATGGACGTTAAGATGAGAATGTCAACCATATACTCAAGTACCAACTTCAAGACTGTGTCAATACTTTATCAAGTGGACTACTTGGAGTAGTGGACCACTTTTACTTGACACAAGGAAAATCGACGATTTTCGACCAAAAGTTTGAAACCAAGGTCAGGTCTAGGGCCAACTATTTACATCGATATGTTCGAACTTATTATTATTATTATTATAATAATAATAATCACAGTGTAATTTCAATTTTTATTTCTTTTATGATATCCTGATGTAATATTCATTTACTATTTTATTTTGTTGATCATTCATTGATAGAATAAAAAGTAGGATAAAAATATACAGGGTGAATTTGTTTAACAAGATTAATTGAAATAAATCCTATTATTTTGTATTTTTTATTATTAATTTTAAGGATTTGTTATTTTTGAGGTTATCTAGGTCTCAAAGTTGTTTTAGCATTCAACAGATGGCGTCGTATTATTCAATTATTTCAATTTACATACAACAACCTAACCTTACTTTTTCTATTCTTTCATGTATTATTATTTTGCGTGTTATTATTATTTATGAAAAATAATAATAAAATAATATTAAATCAATAATTTGTAACAAATACCACACCAAACGAGTCAGAGGCTCAGAACATTCTAGGAAGTTTATAAAAATGGATGAAACAGAAAGAAAAAAAATAGAAATGACAAGAAGAATAGAATTTGTTGTTGAAATCTTTTATGTTAAATTAATGAGAATGATATATAGAATGTGTGTATTTATGTGTGTGTGTGTGTGTGTATGTGTGTGTGTGTGTATGTGTGTGTGTGCGCACCTTTTCGTCGCCTCCGCATAAAGCACCACTGCAGCATCAAACATCACACAATCTGAACTTTAATCGGTCGAGAGGTCAGTGACTCTCTTTGGTACCGCGAGTTCTTCCTCCTCCACCACCTCCTCCTCCTTTTCCTCTTCCTCCACCTCCTCCTCCTCCTCGTCGGCGTCGTCCTCGTTGTCTTCTTAATCGCGTAACTCTCTTCGTACGCAGCATCCGCTCTTCGTCGTTTTTCTTCTTCTTCGAGGATTAACAAATTACAAACAACGAAACAAAATTCGTCCTTTTTATTATTTATTTTATCACTAATTCAAGATGGATTCTTCCCGTAACCATTTGTATCCACTTCTTCAATTAGTTGGAGTTTAAGGACAGTTCGACACCGACGATGATGATGATGATGGGAGGGTCTTTTTGTAAAACTTTCAATCAATTTCAAATCAATGAGACAAATATTGTTTCGATGTGATCACTTTTGTTATTTAATAAAAATTTTTCCTTTTTTACGATCTTTTTTTTTTTTGTTTTTGTTTATTCGTAGTACCAACACTTAGTAGAAATTATCCCCAAAAAATTGATTAACTTATGATCCAAGTAAAACACCACCACCACACAACAATTCACGGATTTATTTTCTATTGAGACCTGTTGTATAACAAAACACTGTCTCAATCTTTCAATTTGTTGTTTCTCATACTATTTTTTTTAAATAAAAAAAAAATTGCTCGATAATTCAAAAACAACCCTTTCCAAGTTTTCTGTTATTGAATACCAACAAGTGATTTATACTCAATCAGATTGTAAAACAAATAAAATGTTTGTATCCTAACAACAGTTGTATACAAATCATAATTTCAGAATTCAGAAGAATACGATAG